TAAAACAAAAATCCCGATTTAAAAATTTTAAAATTATTAAATTTGGTAATGTATTTGAAAATTTTCAAAATTTTCCACCTCTAAAAATTATTTAAATAATTTATGGTATAAAGTTGAAAAAATTTAAAAAAATCCGTTTTTGGTTTAAAGTGAAAAATTTTATTTGAAGTGTTTGATGACCATTTTTATTTTTGGTAGGAAATGGGTTTTTATTAATAAATGTCAGAATTTATGGTATAAAGCGGGCAATTTTATTTTAGTATGAAATGTCCAAATTTAATGGTATGAATTTTATTTTATATGGATAGAAGTGTAATTGAAAATTTTGAAAACAAAATAAGTGGTACGAGTTTTATTTGGTGTGGGTATGAAAGTCGAATTTGAGGTTAATTTATTATAAAAACAAGATGATATAATTTTCACATTTTAGCATATTCTCATAATAACTTGCCATAATATATGTTAATTCAGAAAATTTGTATGTATTCCTCCTCAAAATATATATGAATTATTATTGGTTAATAAAATTTGTAATTTAATTCTAGAGAATTAGTTGATAAATTTGAACGATAAGGTAACAGGCAACAAAGTCTTGAAAATTGCAATTCTGATTGGGTTCAGACAACAAAATTCTAGAGAATTAGTTGATTGGTTTAATTGTTCACAGGTCACATCGCCAAGTTATCAGTATCCGAATCCTGAGTTTGATGAAATTAAATTTTTCAAGTTTACCCAATTCTGTTGGACACGGAAAAAAAAGGTGCATTCTAGGTGTCAGAGATCAAGGTTTTTCAGGTTGGTTGAATGCTTAATTGTATTACAGTTCAATACATATATATAAGTTCACAATGACATTGAGTGAATTCGAGCATGTTTAGAAGTTTAAGAGTTTTTTTATGTGGATGTGCTCGAATTATCTCTCACATTATTTCTTGTTTTTTTATTTTCAAAGCTGTACAAAACATGTTGTAATTGGGGTTCTATATTGGAGACCTGGAAGCAATACTAAGTTATAATTATTACATTTATGCAGTCTTTGCAAAATGTACAGCTGAGGAGAATAATAAACGAAAGCTGAATGGCAAGGGGATAACAACATACCGATTAGGATTTTTGGAAGATCTACTATTCGAAAGAGACTTCGAAAGAGACCCTTAGCAGCTGTTATACATTTTTAAAAATTCAATGATGGGAGAGGCGAAGGGATCTTAAAGTTAACCGAATTAAATATTTTGAAGCTAAAAGAAGAAGATTATTACCATGTGGTACTCATTATTGCACATGGTAAAGTTGAGAATGAAGATTATTATGTTAACCAGTATTCTTTGGCCTAGAGGAACATTTTATGGAAAAAATTATCCATAAAATGTTCCTCTAGGCCAAAAAAATACTGGATAACATAATAATCTTCATTCCCAACTTACTTTACCAGTACCGCATGGTGATAATTTTCTTCTTTTAGATTCAAAATATTTAATTCTTCGGTGGTTAACTTTAAAAACTCTCCGTCTCTCCAGTCATTAAAGTTTTTATTAAAATGTATAACTGCTAAGGGCCTTTTTCGATGTCTATTAAAAACCCGAGCATATGTCGATACGGCTTGAACGGTAAGTCTTACAAAAATCCTACGCCTAAGATTTGTATGTTTTATCTCCATTCCCATTTCGCTTTCGTTTATTATTCTACTCAGCTATAAGCCCAACATTTGCATAAATGTCATAATTATAACTTCGTATTTCCAAGTCTGCAATTGTTCCTATTCTCTTGGTATAACCATATCCGCGTATAGAACCCCAATGACAACATGTTGTGTACAGGTTACTGGAAATAAAAAAACAAGAAGAAATAATATGAAAGATCTAGATAATTCGAGCACATCCACATAAAGAAAACTCTTAAAATTCCAAACAATGCTCAAATCCACTCAATGTCATTGTGCACCTCTATATATGTATTGAACTGTAATAAAATTGTAATACAATAAGAACCCTAATCTCTGACACATAGAATGCACTTCTTTTTTCCCGTGCAACAAAATTGGGTAGACTTGAAAAATTCAAGTTCATCAAACTCGGGATTCGAACACTGATAACTTGGCGATGTGACATGCGAACAATAAAATCAATTGAATTATCAACTAATTCTCTAGAACTTTTACCAATCAGAGTTGCAATTTTCAAGATTTTGTTAACCAATTGAATTATCAACTAATTATATAAGGAAATTTATTTTGTCGTCCAAATTTGGGTTCCAAATTTAAGAGTCAAATAAGTAATTATTCATAACTTATGAGTCAATATAATTTGGATGTAAAGAAAATAATCAATTATTATAGTTTAATAAATTACTTAACTACTTAAATTTTTTTATTCAAAAATAAATTCATTTTAATTAATGAAACAACATAAATTTTATAATTATACTTATTATTCACAGAGATTTTTAAATATATTATAAAATTTTACTAAATATTTAGTTTAATCACATTGTAGTTAAATCAATTTTTTGAATAAAAATTTTAAAATGTCACTTATTTTGAAATGAATAAAATGTAATTTATTATGAGTTACAAGCACCGTACGAGTTGTATGCTAATTTTAAATAGACATGTTTTATGTAACTTTGCACAATTTAAATTCATTAACATTTTCAATAAATTAATTTTGGTAAATTTTATTACATATTAATTCTATATTTTAAATGTATACATATTATTTAATGAGCATTTCTAATTTATAAATATTAATGAATATCTTTTACCTGTGCATCGCACGAAATTCGTACTAGTTTTATACATATTGAAAGTCATAATTTTAAATGAGTTGCTCAGTATATCAATCACACCGTAAGCTGTAGCAACCTTTACATAGTACATGTATACACACAACATAATAAACGAGTAAACGAGATCTCTACTAATTGGAGCATCCCTATCTTCACCATAAACCCCAAACAATGATCATCCATTTTTGAAAAATAAACATTCGAGACCAAAGGACTACTTAACTACGTGATATTCCTATACGAACCCAAATATATCTACAACCATTTGTAGGAATGGAAGAAAAATACTTTGTAAATACACATATAGGTAGTGGATTATTGACAAGTTTCTTTTTGATGAGCTCACATACTGAACCCAAATTTTTGGACGAACGTCCCGGGAAAGAATTCGATTTGGGTAGACAATGTGCTGTTTCGCACACAATCTCTAACTTGTTCTATAATGATTTTGGGGTCGAAATGCAAAGGTAACTAGGAAACAGTGAGAGGCCTTACCTTTCTACCCAGAGACTGTTTCTACCTCTGTTGGAATATCTAAAGAGGAATCGACTTTTACAGTGGAAACTTTCAGATTTGGTATGACAGGAGGTCGACTTCTTGGTGTAACCGTCATTTTCAAACCTTCAGTAGTGTGAATTGTCGCGCCTGTTGTCATTTTAACCTGCACAAACAGCAGCAGTTTTACTTATCTTATGAGAGTTTGGCGTTCAGAGAAAGTGCTTTGTACTGGCAGAAGTTCAACGGAGTGGAGATATCAGAAGTTGGTAGTATTTTGGGAAAAAAAGGCTAAGAACTCATAGTTGAGAAAAGTAATTTCACAATAATTTTGTTTAAATTGAAGTTTGTAATACTCAAATAGATAGTTCGTGTGTTGGGACTTGGGAGGAAAAAATTTGCGCCGGTAAGATCTTGATTTGTGAAGGATTATGAAATCTCTTTCAACACACACAAAAAGCAAATCTAAAAATCAGCGGTACCTATCCTCTAATTAAGTTTTCAAATGAAGCATATTAGAGAAAACAGAAACTGATATTCATACAAAAAAATACAAGAAATTATTATTTGGCTGCCAATCAAATTTTTCCTTTTCACTGCTAGAAGCCACGCCCTTTATTAGAGAACTGTTTATCTACAATATATATTGTTTCAAGAAGGGATATGCAGCTAATAATGATGTTAGAACTGAACAAGGAAGGCAGTCCTCGTGAACAGTGAAGAATAAAGGAAATATATTACTTACAGGCGGTGCTCCAGGTGCCATTTGGAAGTCAAACCTACGAACGAGCATTGCAACTGCTACAGCATTCTACAAAATCAGAAATTAGAGTGGATTAACATTTCATGACATTAAGAATCTCAAGATGCTCAAATAAAGTTTTAACTCAGTAAAATTACCTCGTACGAAGCAAACATGTCTCCGATACATTTTCTAGGACCTCCCCCAAAGGGCAGGTAGCTGTAAGATCAATAGTCTAGTTATGTCAATGAAATTCCACAACATAACCTTTTAAGGAAACAACAGTAAAGAGAATTGGCATATTATTGAGACGGATTATCATATCTTGATGAGATTTTCTGCGAGAATGACAGCATGCATTTTTACTTTGAGGTGTTGCTTGAAATTCTATTTTCATATTCAGATATTAAACATAATTGATTTTTATCTCCTACCATGAACAATCAGAAAAACAATTACCATAAACTAAACTAATNAAAAAAAAAAAAAAAAACAACGGCGAAGCAATTTGTTTATATGAGAATTCTAATAGAACAATTAAGACACTAAAACATCATTTGGCATAATGAATATAAGCTATAAATTCTAACAAATCGGGTTCTATACAATTAACATACAAATTGTCTTGGTGGTATGTAGCAGTTTGCTTTACCATACATAATTTTTTGCAACTAATATTTGTGATATTTTCTATGTCTAGTCATATTATGATGTGCTACCTGAGTCGACCCATAACACCTCGACCAATGACATTTAGAATAATACTAGGTGGATGATGTTTAACCCAAAGCATCATTAATAGGAATACACACATAGGATAATACCATTCATATTGATGGACATTTTGGTACCAATATTTGTGATTGTTTCCAAACTTGATTAGAGGATGATGTATCACCCTAGACACTATAGATTGGTACAAAAGGTTACTAACTACAAAAGGTGATATCCCACTACAAAGGCTATGCTAATTCTTAAATAGTATATATGAGGGTATTATTACTCATAACCTTATGATAATACCATTTAGGATAATACCAGGCCACCATCGACTGCTAGAATAAAACAAGGCTAAGGTGGATGATGTTTATGCTAAGCGAAGTACCACGAATAGGATTATATCACACCATAAACTGATACACATGCTTTAAATGCACTAGAGTCCTCCAATGCCACCACAAAGGCTAGGTATATTCTTAAATAGTATATATGGGGGTATTTATTACTCATACCTACTGCTCCCCTTGCCCTTATAAGTAGACTTATTTGCAAAACAAAACCCCACGTTTGATTAATTTGCAATTAAGGGAACTGTTTTTCACGTTTTGTAAACTGAGGCACGGATAAAGAAATGAAAAAATACAACCTATATCTGCAAACTAATATATAAGACCAAAGTTTTATTAGATTTAATTATGTTCCCTCGAGCCACCTCTTTATATAAAATTTTCAAATATACACACATTATTACGGTGAAATTTATAAATTATATGAGTAAAACATACATCAGTTAGAAGTTATATTAGATATTATGTTATTTGTTCGACCTGTGAAGATAAGTAAAAAAAATGAGATCGAAAAAACTAGGGTTTCGATCGGAGAATAAAGGACATAGATCTATTCGATCCAGGCGAAAATATAGTAGATCGCGGCGGAAGAACTCAGGATAATCGGCGATAAGATCGTCGGCCGGCGAATGATACCATGATAAGATCTGAAATCGAAAGATCGATTGAGAGAGAGAGAGAGAGAGAGAGAGAGAGACAGGATATCGGAGACGATGAAGAAAAACAAAAGAAAAGAAAATATTATTTTCGATAATGAAAAGTTGAGTACAGAAAGTGAAAAGAGAACCTATTTATACTAACCCTAGTACATACTAAAAACGCTATTCAGCAATAGCAACATATAAAGCTAAATACAACTCTGTTTTTATCAGGTTAAAATACAAAAATGCCCAAGTAATGTATATACATTAATAATTTTGTGCAAGACAAATATTATACCCTTTGCACCACTTAGAAAAAAATGATAAAAACAAACTCCATAGACTATATCAATACCACAAATAATGGTTAGAAAATTATGACTATTTTTTCAACTGTTTATATATTAACTCTAACCTATTATTTTTCTATATCGTGAAAATATTACATTCATATTGTGATGGATGCATCTAAAGCAATTGGTTATGCTATTGTACAACAAATCCTGCCAACTAGTTTTGGAACCAAAAAAAAAAAAGAACTATTTGCTTTATTTATATCTATGGTGTATTTTTTTATTTTTTTTTACACACATAGGAGGATTAATAATTATATCTATGGTTTGTATATACCGCGTAGTAAGAATTGCGGAAACTATTTTTAACCATGTGCGATACTATTTTTTATTATATTTGTTGTTATTTTAAATTGGAATTTATTTTTAAAAATACCACAATATATATGGCATATGATGTTAAAATTAGCATCATACACAATTAAAAATAACATAATATACGGTTTTTCATAATTCTCACACCAGCACTTGTTTTCATTAAAAAAAAAAAAAATCCTATATGTGTGTGTTTAAAATATTGTGCAAGACTCTTAGTAAAAGCAACTTTATCGACAGACCTGAAATTTTGATTTGTCTCATTTGGACTTGGGCCATCCAAAGGCCATCTTTCGGGATTAAATTTTTCTGCATCTTCCCAATGATCACGGCTATGATGCAAATTCCAAACAGAGATGAATAAATCTTCGCCCCTGAAAAATGATTTGATATGAAGTTAGTTTTTACCAAATCAATATAAAAAGATATTGCATATGAGAACAGCTACTTCCAAGGCATAGTTTAGAAATCACATTATTCACCAACACATAAGTCTCTGTGACAAAACGTTATCTCATTATTTACGAAACTCAGCCGAAAAAAGTATTAGTGTCTTTGGCCATAATAATTTTAATTCTTAACCTTTTTATCGGGTACTTTCCAAGTACATCCTCCTCAAGAGACCGACGGATCAAAACAGGTGGTTGTGGATAGAGTCTCAATGACTGCAAAGTGAATAAAGAAATTTAAGATGGAGATATAAAAGAAAAAAGGGAGGGTTATTAAAGTTATTGGCACGTGAATAGATAGACACTTTACTCACTTCACTAATTACTCGAGATGTATATTTGAGCTTCTTCATGTCATCAACGGTCGGAAATCGATCACCCAGAACGGAGTCGACCTATATTACACCATAAGGCGTACATATAAATTATAATTCTGTATTCAGTGATAGGTTGGAATATTGCTGAGTTGCAATTTTAGTAGCTCAACTAACCTCGTCTTGAAGCTTGGCCATGATGCTAGGCTCCTACATGTTTTTGAAATGTCAAGGCATAAAAGAAGAGAAAGGAAATGTGATGGTAGATAAGTTTCAATGACATTCTCAGCACCTTTGCAAGTAGATAAAACGTCCACGTAAGGACAGCAGCAGATGTTTCGTGCCCAGCTATTAGTAGTGTCATTAGATCATCACGGAGTTGTTTGCTCGAAACCTGCAAAATTATTTAGGTCAGCAAATTCAATTTCCAACAGATAAATGATCAATAAGTTGTACACTGATGATATACATCATCCCCAGATGCTAGTAGAAAATGAAGAATACTGGGATCTTGCTCATTGATGTATTCCTCATGAAACTGCAATTCTTCTTCTTCTACCATTTTCTGCAAGTGCATGATGAATAAACATAAAATGATTAAATTAAGAAAACTCATGGCGACAGGTATAGTTGCATACATTAACATGTTATGGTTAAACAAACTGGAAAAAAGAAAATTAATTGCAATACTATCATGAGTTTAGCCTAATATTATTATAATAATAATAATAATAATAATAATATCCTTAAAAGTGACAATCGTTTATTGTAAAAAGGAAATTCCATAAGTAGCCTAGTAAACTATTTTATAACATCATTGAAAATTTGATACTAATAATTAATATAATTTTGATTTTCAACACAAATTATTATATGTACTCATTATTATCATAACTTTCAATTATTATCATTAATTGAAAATATATTTCAGCTGTGAATACATTTGGGATTATTCATGATGAAATATACCATCATTTCTTTAACTAATGAAAAAAAGTTGTATATACTACGAGTATACATATAATAAAAACTATTTCAAATCACCAAAAATATTAGTAAACAGTTGTGGATGTACACCTTCTATAAATAAATTATAAAAAAAATACAGTGACCAATTAAACTAAAAAAGATTAAATACCCACAATGTACGTTTATGTTCTTGCAAAAGTGCATCCATAAGAAAGTGCAATTCTTTCCCCTAAGGTAACATTTAGGGTTACAGAACCCAAATAAGGTCGTCAGAGACGAAAAAAATGAAGAAAAAAATATGAGGCAGATTAATATCAGTAGGATCGTATGTACTGGGCGATTGATACCATGTAAACAGCCATAATCAAGAAAGATATTTGCAGGTAATCGAAAGAGAAGCGAGATGAAGAAGAAGAAGAAAAGCAGCGGCGATTTTATTGAAGAGAAAAATGAAATGGTTTGAATGAATACAAATTTTAGAGTTTTCTCCCTTTTATACTAAGACCAAGAGTGTTGGTCAAATACATAAGGAAAAACGTGTTTTACAAATATAACACCTAATACAATAATCCAAAAACTAAATAACAACTCTATAGTCTAATAACATGAGATCATGTCACTCGATAAATTGATTACTAAGAATTACTAGGGATACGGGCATTTCTTTTTATCCATTGAAACACAGAACAAAATATCCCAGACTTGTCAAAATTAGATAACACTAACTCAAAGTTCTGAATCTAGGTCATTTTATTTTTGTGCATAGCATTCATGGCCGCAGACTCTCTATTATTCTTGTCATTCTCATCAAACTAACATGCAAATTAAAGGTCAAAAAAGGAAGAATCGCGTGAACAAATTTTACCTTACAAATTGCAATTAGGCCATCTAGTGTTTCATTGACAAGCTTAAGAGCTGCATTGACCTTCTTAAGCTTTGGGGAGATATCTTTCCATATGGGAATCTCCCAAAATGGAATTGGTGCAACACTTCTGTCTTCAGCTTCTCTCAGGACGGTGTACACAGCCTATCCAAAAACATTAGAGCTGTTTTAATATAAAGCTATAGTTACACATACAGCTCACTCCATTAAGTTTCAAAATCACAAATACTTTGTTGACTAATATTTCGATTTTAAATATTCCATTGAATACATTGTTATTGAGTGTAGTTTTCTTGGTTAACAGAAAAACCATTAGGGATATTTTTCTTGGTTAAGGGTTAGTGGACCTTATTGTGGTATTAATTATAGAACTTGAGAGTGATACAGATGAAGTGAAAGATAATACCCCTACGATTCCAGTGTCAACATTTAGAGAGTCGAAATCATAATTGAATACGGCTTTGCCAATGACATCTAATGTCAGACGGGAAAAAAGTGACTCCATCTCCACATCCTCACCATAGGATGAAGCAGCATCGAGCTTTTTGCACAGCCTATCTGTTGCCTCTCCAAATAGTCGGAACATTGCAGCCACAAACTAAAAGGAAGCAGCACAAACTACATCAGTTAGTAGCTCTTAGAAAAGCCTTAAAAGGCACCCTTACAGCTCAGACATCCACCCTACCTTTAATTTTCAAATTTCAAACCTCTGACCTCTACTCACCAAACGAGGCTTCAATTCCTAAGTACACTCTGCAGTTTCAAAAATTGTATGGAGTGACATATTTTTTTAACTATAAAAAGTACCTCCACGGTTTAGCCAATTTAGAATAACAGAAAGAAAAAGTCCAATTACCTTTAAAGCTTTAGCCAATTTAGAATAACAAAAAGAAGAAAGTCCAATTACCTTAAAAGTTTACAGATTGTACCTAAGAAGGGGAGTCATTCCTACATAAATAGATACTACAAGATCATACTTTGCAATTTCAAACGACAGTTGATATTTTATCCTCTTTGGCATTAGGCTGAGCCTTAGAACCTTATGGGTAGTTATAATTATTCTTAATTGCATTCTTTCTGTTACTACCTTCTGATGCAGTGCAGGGACTATAGCCCGTCGTCTGACACGCCATATTTCGCCATCAGCAGGAATAAGTCCTTTCCCCATTACAAAGTCCAAGATTTCAGCTAAAATGCCCTGACAAAGGAAAGAAGGAAAGGAAAAGAATCAAAGAAGTTAATTTTATAAGTGTTTCTTCAACACGGTGGCGTTAACGAGAACAGAATGAATGCACAAACAACTTAGTTTTTCAATCATGTACCTTTGAATAAGCTTTTGGATTGTCTTTCAATATATGTTTGGCGATTGAGGGGTCTGACACTATCAAAAATGACTGCAAAGCAATGCCCCCCACACAATTACTCCTTAAATCGCATATAACTATGGGGCGCACCAAAAGATAAAAATCTAACCTTAGGACCAAATGTGAGCCGAAAAATTCCACCGTAAGTAAGGTACAGCTCGAACAATGGAATGAAAAAAGGTTCACTCCTGATGGCTCTGATATCACCTCTTGCCTCTGGAATCTTTAAATAATCCTCTGGGCCACCAATGGAATTGAGTATGACATTGATTACTTGATCAGGCAAGCCCATTTTCGACAAACCATTTCTGAGTTTTGAAAGAAAGCTATTGCTGGAAGGAAATGTTGAAATAACCAAAAAAGCAAAAGAGAATTATCAGCCTCTTTTCAATACTTGAGACAAAAGATTGGGACCAATCAATGTTAGGATGTGAACCAATAAATGGAAAGCAAAATCGAAACTGCAATATGCAAAATCCAGTTCCTACTTGGTTTTAGCATTTCCAATTAAGCCCAAGTAGGCCAAACACCACTTTCCAGGAAATACATAAAATCAAACTAACACAGACAACGCAACATAGCTTCCTGAGTACAAAGCCAGCTAAAATTCCAATTTTTGTTCTCAATTGCGCTCAATCCCTCCCCAACAGAGCAGTAGTACGACAGATAAGACGCATGTTACAACCCTGGTGCATGCACAGTACTTACCTGGACTTCCCAACGGTAAATTCACCAGAGGCAATTCGGGCCGAGAGCTCAGCCCGACGCTTCTCTTCCAGAAGCCTCTTGACGGTGTCCTCCTGCGGGCCCCTATTCCCGCCACTCAAGGACGAACAGCTCACCACTGTACTCCCTGCATTAAACAGTGCCGTTAGGGAACCAAAAAACCGTGAACGCCGGAATGGGAAGTGTACGTCGTGTTTCGTGAGCAGTACCACCGAACTTTACTTTGGCAGGCGAGCCTGATTTTCTTCTGAGGTCCCCCCTGTTCTGAAGGATCCGTGGAGAGATTTGAAAGAAAGAAAGGTTGGCTGCCATTGTTGGTGTGAGAGAGAGAGAGAGGTGATGAATGATGATAATGTGAGAGATTATGTGGCAGTTTTCTATCCACAAAAAACAAATTGCACAATCCAGAACGAACAAGGGATTCCCAGGGTTCGGTAAGATGGTAGACGGATAGCTGGCTATGGCGTTAATGAAAGTTGGACATTTATGTGGACGCCACTTCGTGTACCCCTATAAACCATTACTAGTTTTGATCCCGATTAGCTTTTATATAATTTTTAAATTATTTAATTAATAATTATAATTACGGTCGTATATTTATTAAAATTGTTCACCTCAGCAAACACGTGCAATGAACGTTGGGGTTTCTTCCTCAAAACCATTTTTAAAATTTTACTTTAAATATAATTATTGAAAATTAAATATTTTATTATGGCAAGAAAAAAATAAGACGGAATAAGTTTGACATACAGTCCAAATAAATTAACTTTTTCACTCCACACAATGCAAATAAATAAAATATAAAACAATTATATATATCTTGATAAAAAAAATAAGAAAATAATAATAAAAAAAGCTTAAATTGATTTATCAAACTTAATTTAAAAATATATATATATAACCTATAAATTATCTTTTGAAGCAACAGAAATTGATTTATATTAACATATCACGAAATATTTATTTTAATTGGTGATAAACTATAAAGCATTGTAACCTTCAAAAGGGAAACAACTTTCAAATGCCACAAGCGTGCAATAAACTGCGATGATATGTTAGACAACCAATTTTTAAAAGATTAACTAACATCAGCATATAACTTTTTTTTTTTAATAAATTAAGTGGATGCTACATTACAAATTTTACACTTTTGTCTATATTTTATATTTTTTTAAATACGATAAGTTCAAATAAAAATATATAAACTATATAAAGTTGATTTTGTCTAACAAATATTAGCTATAACCAAAATAGTTTTAGTTCACATGTGGCACTCATTGATAACTTTACTATATATATTCAATGATGATTGTTGCGCAACCACAGATTTCTGTAGTATTTATTAAGCAGTTGGGCTTCAGGGGTCCTAAAATTGAAAAAGGAGCTGGTTGGACGACCTATTATCCTTTCGTTTTGTCAACTTGATAGGTTTTCCCCACAATTTTCTTCCTATTAATAATTTGTCATTGATCATGTGCCTCAAATGTAGGTTTTCTTCAACTTAAATCCCATACATTTCTCTCTGGTAGTATAACTTATGCTTTACCTTGGATTTATATATACATGATCTACAAAGACTGCTTAATTATTGATGTGTTATTGCACTTCGAACTGGCCTTCCGTCGTCCTCCAATCGATTTGATCTTCGAAGACCTGCAAACCGTTGAGAATGTTCTCGATGTATAACCTCCGACGATCAGTCAATAAAGGACTATGAAAGAGTACTGTATATAAATGTAAGCAATAATATTGACAGTATATAGTGTGATTAACATTTTATCTTTCATACCTATCACTTATTTATAGTGAATCATCTATATCTATATAAAAAGATTTGTATTTATCTGAAATAATAGTTAAAATGCGGCTAAAAATTTATTTTTACCTTAATTAGTAACTTTTTCAAAATATTTTTGAAAAATGACGATCAATCATTTGAAATTTAAATTAAAAAAATCAATGTACGTAATTAATGTATAGAATCATTATGGTCAAATATGACGGTTGTTACTATATATAAAATAAGATGTTCCATGTAAGAATCGAGGGTAAATCTGGTGCGGTTCCACATCGATGAAGCGCCATAACAGGAAAAGCACATATGAAGCCCAAGTGAGGTTTCATCTTAAAACTAATTAGTGGAAGGAGGATTAGCCAACTAGGCTTATAAGTTAGACCTATTTTTTCTATATAAACGATGTGTGACAACTCACAAGTGGTATTCTAACACAGTCTAGTTTTCCTTCTAGAGTAAATTATAGGAGATCTCTGGATCTATCCTCCCATTTTATTCAGCTTTTTAGCTAGTTCATTTAGTTTTGGGCTGTTTTCAAGTTTGTATTTGTGTGATATTTATAAAAATTTTATCATTTGAAAAAAAAAAAAAAAAGAAAAAACTGAGGTCAATATTATCTCTTAATTAATTAATAATGATTTGCTGGAGGCGTGGTGCCTGGTGGATTACTCGTTTATGGTAAACTTACTGAATGCACAGCATTAAATTCGATGACCAAAACAATGCAAATCATTTCTCCATCTCGAAAGGTTGTTCACAACCTTCAAGTATAAACACACAAATCCACCACAACAACAATACAATAGATATTCAGTTCATCACACAACACCCACAAAATTAATAACCTTTTGAGCATGGGAGACCTTCACCAAGCTCCCCAAGAACCAATAATCCAAGACCTCAAAGTGACAATCCAAGACTCATCCCTAATAATCCCACCGCACCAAACACATGATAACCAAAAGTCCATCTTCTTGTCAAACATTGACCAAGTCCTCAATTTCCATGTCCAGACGCTACACTTTTTCCAAGCCAACCCCAATTTCCCACCAGAATCCGTGGTTGCGAGCCTAAAGAATGGGCTGGAGAAACTGATGGCTGGGCCTTACGATTTTTTGGCCGGACGGCTAAAGCCCAATCACCAAACGGGCCGGCTTGAGATCGAGTGCAACGGGCTGGGGGCCGGGTTTGTGGTGGCCACCAGCGAGTATTCTCTAGATGAGATTGGGGATTTAGTTTATCCTAATCCGGGGTTCATGCAGCTTATTGTCCCGGGATTGGAGAAGTTCAATGATCAGCCACTTGCTGTTTTCCAGGTAATAATAAATTAGTCAGACTATTTGCATTTTGCACACATTAAGGCCACAATAAGCTTTAAGGCCCTGGAAATGTGAATGCTTTAGTGCATCATGATGTAATTTATTTTGTATGAAAAAGCTGCATTTTCTTTCTCCCCTTGTTTGATTAATTTCCTAAAAAAGTATTTATATGGTCTATAAATATTCACATAATTAAATGACACCAGAACCAACAGTAATTGCATGAATATTATCTCATTATAACGAATATATAATACATGGTGGCCTGCATTTGGGTATTGCCGTATTGGCAATTGCAAGGTTTTATGTTCAACTTCAATTTCTCTTTTCTTCATTGAGATGCATGTGGCATTCAAGAAAAAAAAAAGACGCAGTTATTAATTATTTTATATATTTAACTATAATTAACTAGTTATTAATATACATGGACCACACAGAACCACCATGCTTGAATACTATTTTCAACTTAAAATTGAAAACTTATCACATGGAAACAACATCATCACATTTAATTTCGTGGAAAGCAGGTAAAGGAGGTTATGGCTTTAAATTCATTTAAATTAACTTCACCCATTAATTGGAAGTTGACATATGTGGCCTTTTTTCAGTCTACTAATTTCTAGTCCTACTGGGTAGCTATACATATCGAATCATTTATTTATATGAAATAAACAAAAAATCCGTCGACAAAAATAAAAAAAAAAAAAAAAA